TCTTGCTTTCCTTCTTGTTGGTCATTGTGACTTGTGTCCGCCTTGTCTCCCTTCTGTCTCCCTTTGTCTCCGGTCACTGTGTCTACCTTCTTGTCTCTTCTTGTTGGTCACTAAATCAGCCTGTCAGTACAACTAAGCATACTCAGTAGATTTGCATATGTTCTGTTTTCGTTTGAATTGTCGGTTCTGACCTTGAAGTGAATTGAGCCAAGTGCAACCCAGAAGGTCCGAGTTGATCGCCGCGAGCTGGAACGGTTTGAGCCGTTGGCAGTTTGACAGTTCGTCTCTGTGGCTTACTTTATAAACTGTTTTGGGCCTACGCTGGTATAATTGGTCATTGCGTCCGCCTTGTCTCCCTTCTGTCTTCCTTTGTCTCCAGTCTTGTCTCCCTTCTTGTTGGTCACTGTGTCCGTCTTGTCTGCCTTCTGTTTCCTTTTGTTTCCCTTCTTGTCTCCCCCGTCTTGTCTCCCTTCTGTTTCCTTTTGTCTCCCTTCTTGTGTCCCTTCTTGTGTGTCATTGTGTCCCGTGTCGTCTCCCTTCTGTTTCCTTTTGTCTCCTTTCTTGTCTCCTTTTTTCATGGTCATTGTCCCCCTTGTTTTCCTTCTTATCCCCAATGTCTCAAAAATATGGACTTGGGAATGCTTCTTTGTTGTCCCTCCTGTCTGGGGCCTACGGTGGTATAATTTGTTTCCCTCCTCAACATCCTTTTCATCTCGCCCCGTCGTCCTTTTCTGAGCCTTTTGTTCACTCTCTTTAATGTAGTTTATTGCTTCATCGTAATCCGCGTGTTACACCAGAGTAACTCTACACAAATGCTTTTGGGCCATCCGTCGTCTAGTTTTCTGGCAGCCGAAGGAACTCCACTTGGATATCGTGGAACATAAGCGTTTGCGGCAATGAAGAAAAGTGGAGACAATGTGCAGCTTGGCCAAATGCCAATTGCCTGTGTCTTCTGGGTAGGGCGCTTCAACATTAGGGAAGCAGCAAGCGCGTGAGGTCGCGAATGCCAACGCGCATGTTTTGTGGTAGCTTCAGTAGTTTCAGCCGTCTAAAGGCTCACTACTGCGTTCGGCTGAGCCTTGCAGCGATTCGTACTGGAATCCATGGGCCACGATTCGTATAGGAGTAAATGAGTAAGGGGTGGACCCTGTGTTGAATACAATCTCACGATGCCTTCCATGTCTCTGGGCAGGCGAATGTGGTTGGTACTAGTTACTAGCACACCGCTCTAAAAAGGTTGCGCTTCTTTGATCTCAACAAAAGAGGGCTTCAGGTGCGATCAGGTCAATGTTCATGACCGCAACGCGACATGCCAACATGAAAAGACTGTGCTCACTTCACTGCTCTCCCTTCCCGCGTTTACACGGGATTCTGGGAATGAGCACAGCGCCTCACAAGACTCAAACCCTCAGTTCCATGGTTTCGGACTATCGAAGGGCTGGTTGAACAGGCTTCAAAGTGCGCCCAAGTCAAAACAAGGCCCAGACACGCATTCCCCTCTTCTGAACGCACTAGGCGGAAATGACAAAGTCTAAGCGCGAATCCTGCTCACCGCAGCCTTTTCTCTCTTCCTTTTCGATCAGCTCACCTTGACCCCCTCGACGAGCGAGAGAGGGTGTAGAAAAGGCTGACTCCTTTCCAGCTCGTAGTTCATGCCTTTGTTGCCACGTCGGTTGTCCACCCGGAGGAACTTTCTGCCATCTTCAAACCAACCTCCCGGACGAGCCGCGACTTCGGTGTCAAAGAGCTTCTTACTCCAGGCCTCGTGGATGTTGATGGTGACCTGTGTGACCTCTTGGATGAAGTTTCCCTGAGCCTTTCGGCGCAACGGCCCATCAAGCTCGGCCAGTAGCTTAGTGGGAATCATCCATTTGAACTCCCTGAGATCCCGGTGCTTCAACCAACTGGGACATCGTTTCACCATGCTTGCTTGACAGCCACACCAGCGCTGCCAAAGGCGCACTCTGCCTGGATGTCGTTGAGAGCGTGGATGAGGAAACCATCTCCGTTCACGCGATCCGCTCCAGGATGACCTGCCCAACACGGTCACCAGGGTTGATCACCAACGACTCCGAGCCATGATTGGCCAGGATAATTTTCACCGCTCCACGAAGTCAGCGTCGATCACACCGCCAGCAACGTCCACCCCCCGCAACGCCAAGGAGCTATGAGGAGCACCCCAGAGGAATTTCTAGAGCCAATCCCAATGGCACCAACTTGCGATCACCAGGTTGGGTCTCCAGGTGAGTTGCGGCTGCAAGATCCCAGCCCGCCGAGTTGACCGTGCCCTTGGATGGAAGTGAAGCTTGATCGTTCAAAAGCTTCGCCTTGAGTTTCTCTTCTTAGCCACCACCGTCGAACCATCTCCCAGCCCAGGTCCTTCACAACATGCAGCAAACATACAAGCCCCGCCAGCAGTAGGACCAGTAGGAGCCATCCTTGGTCCGCCCATAGCCCCGATGTCGACGAAGAGTGACGAGCTTCCCCAGCTTCACAGTGCTCCGCAGCTTGCGAGACTGGCAGCAACGATGCTCCAGCAGCGAGCAAAGATACAGACTTGCGCTCCGAAGAGACGAAGCCATGAGTGTCTTTCACAATGCCCGGCCTCCGAAACGGAGATGATGACGAACAGCCTGAACCAATGCCCGAACAGAAGCGCTCAAGAGGCTGAGTCCCCATAGCCCATAGTGAAGTTCCAGCGCGGTGCTCCAATGAGACATTCACGAGTCTTGACAGCCTCCGCAACCCTGCTCGGATTCTCAAATAATGTCTGGTGCGCGCCCAGCTCGGCAATGACCTTCAGGGACTGACAGACCCCAATCATCTTCACTGATGGTCGGAGAGACTTGAGCAGCTGAACGGCCTCCTTCATCAAATCCTCAGAGGGCTGCAAAGTTAGAGGAGAAAACACGGCTCCCGAAGCTTCAGCTGCCATTGACGAAGATCCTTCTTCGCTCTTGGTGACCACCTCCTTGGATTTGCCGTTCTCCCCATTCTCCTTCTTCACCTTTGGCACCTCCTTCACCGGACAGTCGGGTGCAACTCCAACAGCGACCTTGTTTCGACGCATCCACTCATGGAAAGAACACTTTTGTCCCTTCTTGGGCCCACCGTTGGACAAGAAGTAGCAACATACGGGCTTGTCAGTGTCTGCCTGTTTGGAGTCTCCCTTGATGTTCTTGGGATCGGACCTCACGTTCTTGTTGTGCCTGGACTCCATTGGAATCTTGATGTTTCCCTTTGGCTTTCCGCCTCCATCTTTGGTGCTTGCTCCATCTCCATCTAGAGCTTTCACCTTCACCGCGTCCTTGATCGGAGCCGTGGAGCCACCATGGAACGCCGCTTCACCCGCTGCCAACAGCGATCCGGAATCCCATTCTCGGTTGGGGCCACATCAACGCGCAGAGCAGCTCTTGTCACCTGAAGTGAAGACGAAAAGCAACTTGAGAGGACTGTTTGGCCAGTCCCGCAGCATATCGATCAAGCGTTGCAAACAAAAGAACTGGCTCTGGCGACTGAATCCCGAGCTCCTTCGCGCGAGCGAGCCGCCTTCTCCGCGCCCTCAACGATAGCCATTCTCCGAGAGGTCCAGGGACTTTCTGATCGACCAACCGCTTCAGAAGAGTTGCGCGCTCACCCAAGCCACCCGGTTGATAGACGCGAAGCAGGTTGAAAATGATGCTAACAGAGCCCACTTCGCGCTGCGACGCGACACCAACTCCGATCTCAAAGACACTATGGCCCGGATCCCCCTATCAGGGGTCTTCTCCGAAGCAGTAGCCCCATCGCTCATGGCGATCTAAGGAAAAGGAAAGCCCGAAACTCAAGGTTCACAAAAGCGTGACCTTTGGGCTCGTAACCCACACCGCTCTAAAAATGCTGCACTTCGTTGATCTCAACAAAAGGCCTTCAGGTGAATGTTCACGACCGCCGTACGACATGCCAACGTGAAAAGACTGTGCTCACTTCACTGCTACTAGAACTAGACAGGGTGGCTCTCAGGCTGAGATGAGTGCCTTTGTTTGCCTTTGTGTCCGATGGCTCTTATTGGGTGTGGGATCCCTTGGGTGCCGAGCTGAAATGATTTTGTTTTGTCTCTTTTCTTGGAAGATGATTCTGCTTTGCCTCCCGTCCGCCATGGCTCTTCGAGATGATTCTGCTTTGTTGCCCTTCGTTTCCTATGGTTCTTCTGAATGTTAGCTTGAGATGATTCTGCATTGTTTCCTTTTGTCTCCCATGGCCCTTCTTAAAATCAAAATGCTTGACTTTCTCAAACAGCTTGGGGTTCCATTGGTTTCAAAAGATTTGCATCCTGTCACCAGATGTTCTCCCTGTGTTTGAACATCTCCCCACTTGTTTTCCTTCTTGGCAACCTCTCGCGACATGATTTCCTCTCTGTGTTCCCATTTGTCTTTCTTCATGTCTCCCAACCATCCTGAATTCTTCCCAGAACAATGACCACTGTATCGTGATAATATGCGCTCGGTGGCTCGGTGAACCTTCCTTGTCATCTCACACTAGGCTCTAGGGGACGGCGTGTTTTTGAAAACGCCTTTTCTGAAATCGCTTGAAGCGCGCATTATTCTGAATGCTTACGGAAAAGCCAAGGTTTGACATTGGCAATGCACGGTCGTGTTTCTGAAATCGCCCGCTTGTAGTCGAAGTGCACAGATGCATGTCCCCAAAAAGACACACAGGTATGCTTTGTGGAAAGACAGACGTGTCATTAACGTCATGTTTTTGAGAAGGGTGCTTGTATTGTGGGTCGCCGCAGGATATTTTTATTGTTCTTTTGGGTTTGTGCAGTTGGCCCTCTGGAAGGTTTGTTTGTGACAACCAACAGCTCACAACAAGCCTGTGTGGTGACGCTCGCTGTTCATGTAGATTGCTGCCTCGCCATCACAATTTTAACACTGAGTGTCAAAAACCAAATTCTCAAAGCCAATCCAACCTTCCAGCTTCCGAACCCCGACCCACGAACCCTATTAATCCTTCGGAAGGTTGGAAGCGGCCGATTTGCGGGCAAAGCGAGAGTTGCCGCCTGAGTTTGATGTACTGTACATGGCGCAAAGGGACAACGCATGGTGACAACGGTGTTACGGGCCTGTGTGTTTTTGTGCATTGGGCCTTGATTCATGCGTTCGTGGGGGAACGTGCGACTTAAAGTTAAAGGGTCCACAGTCTTTTTGGTTTGGGCTATTCTGCAACAACGCCAAGCAAGTTTTGCTTGACGGTTTGCTTGACGGTTCAAACTATAACCTTTTGCTCGGGATCGCTATCCTTGATTTCACGCGGACATTTTGCAGTAACATGTATAGAAAAGTGAAATGCAACTGTAACGCTCTGCTATGCGCACTCCTTTTGTACCATCAATGGCTCTGAAGGGAAGGGAAGGGAAGGGAAGGGAAGGGGAAGGGGAAGGGGAAGGGGAAGGGGGAGGGGAAGGGGAAGGGAAGGGAAGGGAAGGGGAGGGGAGGGGAGGGGAAGGGAAGGGAAGGGAAGGAGGGAGGGAGGGAAGGAAGGAAGGAAGGAAGGAAAAAAAGACAAGAAAAGAAGAGAAAGAACGAAATAAAGAAGGAAATAAAAACAGAACAAAAGAAAACAAGAAAGAACGAAGGACAGATTGAAAGAACGAAGGAAAGATTGAAAGAGAAAGGAAAGAAAGAAAGAAAGGAAAGGAACGGAAAGGAAAGGAAAGGAAAAGAAAAGAAAAGAACAAAAAAGAAAAGAAAGAAGGAAGGAAGGAAGGAAGGAAAGACAGAAAGAAAGAAAGACAAACAGAAAGCAAGAAAGAAAGAAAGAAAGAAAAGAAAGAGAGACAGACAGACAGACAGACAGACAGAAAGAAAGCACAAAAGACACAAAGGACGAAAGAAAGAAAACCAGAAAGAACAAAATATGATAGAATCTACATGAGCTTTGCAGTCAGCCATACGCATATGTACTCACGGCCAACTATAGGCCCAAGCCGTTTCTGTGAAAACGAGCCCGTGCCTTGTCATGGTAGCGGAGCCCTGGTCGTAAAGCGCCGGGGCTCCGTTACCCACGTGGGAGCACGAGCTCTACGGCATCTTCCACTACGACGTGGACATCGAGAGCTACACGATCCAAGGGTGGACCTTCCTTCACATCCATTTGGCTCTTGGAGCTACTGCTGTTGGCAGGACTTGCAGGTGGGATTGGAGCAGCGACAAGCCAGGAAGTGCAGTACTACCAGGCCAACTCCATCTCGCCCCGGACAGGGAAGTCACGTGTGAGGAGGATGTACGTTGGTGGTCGAGACTGAGGAGCACCTGAGCAAGATCAAGTGGATAAAGAGTGAGAAGGCCGTGAGAGCTTCAGTCCTGGTGACAAGAAGACAGGACCAGTCACAGTTCAAAGAGGCGATCGCGGTGGTGCCAACGAAGTGGAGATTCGTAAAGCGCATCGAAGCTTTGAGGGACAACGCAGACGAGGACAAGTTGAGTGAGCTAGTGTACAACTGACGGTTTTGGGACTTGGCGTTTGGAGCAAGTGCACCCCTTGCCCCTGTGGAGACGAAGACATTCACCCCCAAGGTCATTGGGCTGAGGTCAACGGCAGAAGAAAGCTTGCGACAAGTGGCAACTGCCTTGGAAAGGCTGGCATTGAACCAAGCCTCACAAGGATGGGCAAGGCATCTGAAAGCGCCTGATGTCTTCAAGCCAGATGGAAGAGACGCAGAGTTGAAGCTATGGGGAGACTGGAAGTTTGGCTTCCTGAACTATGTGAAGGGGCTTGGCCCTTCGATGGCGGCCAGCGTGGACATGGTCGAGAGCAACGTGGATGCAAACTACAGCTTCGAGGACATGACGGATGAGACGAAGGCAAAGGCTGTGAGACTATACAGCCTGTTGACCTCGTACTTGAGGCAACGCCCGTTGAAGCTGATTCGTCATGTCAAGAGCGACTCGCGGCAAGGGCAGCGCAGTGTTTGAGAAGGGCATTTGGGTGACCAAGCGCCCGTAGAACGACAACCATGTGGTCCTCTCCACGACAGGAGCTTATGAAGCAAGGACCATTCGCAGGGTGTCGCCTGAGGACAGTTTCAGTGGCCCTGAGATCTTCACTGCAAAGGGACTGCCATGGAGCTATTCAGCACAAGGTATCCTTATGAAGCGCGCCGGACAAGCTCAACGGTATCGTCAAAGTGGATGTAAGTGAGGAGGAGTTGAGTGCTATCGCCCAAGATGTGGCTACAGGTGTAGTGACACCAGCGCCTGGGTGTCAACCCATGACGCGTGGGATCACATTGACTATGAGCGGACCATCAACAGCAGCAGCGCCAAGGACACCGACCAGTGTACCTGTGAAGAGGCAGCTGACCGAGGAGGAGAAGAGTGATGGTGAGAGAGAAAGTAAACGGCAAGATGCAACAGAATTGCCCAGGAAACATGCAGAGAAGAGGCCAGGGCAGACTGCGCAGATGAATGAAGACAAGAAAGGACGAGTTGAAGAAGCGCAACGCGCAGGAGGAGAAGAGACAAGGGCAGAGCCCCACAGCACAGGTCATCTGTATCCACCGCACTACCCGCTGGAGTGGATGCAATTGGAGTTGAAAGCCATGGAGATGAAGATGTGGATATGGAGCAATGGATTGGATATGGAGGTGAAGAAGGTGACGACCCTCCTGAAGTGGCCCCTGAGGAGTTATAGAGATGCTCGACAAAGAGGCGTGCGACACAGAGGCCCAGAGAATGTTGGAAATGCCTGCAATGATCGAGACTGATCGAGCAGAGATTGAGTTGACTGAGGGCTACATCATCAGCACGAAGATGGTCATGTGCTGGAAACACCGCTTGGAGAAAGGAGGGTGGTTTCGACGAGCACGTCTGGTAGCCCGGCAGTTCAGAAACAGCATAGATCTTGAGCAAACGCTCGCTCCCACATCGATGATGACGCTGCCCAAGATGTTAACGCACTATGTGCTGAACGTGAGAAGGGAGTTCGTGGTGGTGACCCTAGACATCAAAGATGCTGTTCTCATGGCTGCGCAACCCGCAACGGAGAATGCCTATGTGCAGATCGATGACCGCGTCTACAAACTCCTCAGATGCCTTCCAGGCCAGAGAACAGCGGCGCCACAGTGGTTCAATTTGTTTGCCTCCGCACGTCGAGATTTTGGGATGGAGCAAGACCTGATGCAGCCAACCTTGATGCTGATCCCCAACCTCCTCTACCTCACCGTACATGTGGACGATGTGTTCATGATTGGACGAGAAGACAAGGTGAGGGAATTGATCCAGTACTTCATGGAGGGGGACAAGTTCTTCTATTTGAAGAGATCAGATGTGATCGAAAGCAGTACGGCAGTTTTGAGAAGGACGTTGACCTCTACTCCAAGTTCTATAGAAAGACGCCCTTGGATGCCAACTTCACCAAGAAGGATGACTCAGAGATCTTGGAAGGGAGTGACATCACAAAGTACAGGAGCATTGTTGGGAATTGGGAGGCTCATGTACATGGCCGGAGAGCGACAAAGCATGCCTTGAAGAATGCTTGGCGCACCTGTTCCTACCTCTTCGGGACAGGCGGGTATGGTGTGAGACTTGAAGAACGAAAGAAGGGCCAATCCACGATGGATTCCAGGGACATCTATGAAGTGGAGGATGCAGATGAGCGCTTGTTGGAGATCGTCGCAGACTCAGATCATGCCGGAAACAAGAACGACCGCAAGTCGACGTCCTCCATGCAAGTGTTCCTGGACGGCAACCTCATTGATAGCAAGGTGAGGAGCCAGATCGCCCTCTCATCAGGCGAGAGCGAGTTCATGGCCTTGGTGGCGGGATGCTCAGAGGGCATGTTGGTGAGGCACCTTTGGAACAAGATCACAGGAGGTTCTTGCAGAATGAGGGCAAGGTCTGACAGCTCAGCAGCCCGGGGCATGTCGGCCGTGTGAGGCATCGGACGCCTCAATGCTATGGATACAACAGAAGGAGCGTGACCAAGTCGTCTCGGTGGCACCGATCCCCACAGCCCTCAACAGTGCAGATATCGGCGCTAAGAATCTGCCGAAGAAGCGGCTCCGCGGTCTACTACAGTATATGATCCATATGGTGGACGCAGTTGGTGACTGCGTGGGTGAACAGGAGTTCCGCGAGACCGAGAAGGAGTACCAGTTGAAGCAGGGCGTGAAGAAGTTTGGAAAGAGTGAGGACCTCAGGATTGGACTCCTGATGATCAACAAGGTGGGCAGCACTTCGACTGAAGTGAAGGAAGATGATGAGACAGATTGGACATGGATGATGCTATGCACTTGCGCTTGCATCGGGGCCTTGAGCCTGTTCAGCTGGCTTCGGAACTACATGAATGAGTTCCTCGATTGCGTGAGGGTCTTCATCAGGGACAATGTGAAGGCCATGGTTCAGATCAAGAAGATCTACATGAATGTGCAGGTTGAAATGGTGGACCAAGAAACCCAAGCATCACAACGGGTGGACCACATGTACATGGCTCGGTACGAAGAAGAGCTACGAGAAGCTGAGAACACAAGCACTGTACATAGAGGAACTTGAGCAAGAATTGAAGAAGATGAAGGATCATGTAGCCGATTTTTTACAAGAGCGTATAATCGCTGAAAAGTACAGCACGAAACTGGAGAATAGGTTCCAGCGGCTGCGCATGACTCCGGCAGGCAGAGTCCTGCATTTCTCGGCAAGCACGCATTTTGCGGGAGCGAAAGAGATTCGCGCATGTCATGTGTGTATGGCAGAAGGAGGAGTGATAAAATCTACATGAGCTTTGCAGTCAGAAAGATCGAAATAACTAAAATAAAGCAAGAAAGAAAGAAACAGAGAAACAGAAGAACGAGCCGAACGAGCAAGAGAGAGAGAGAGAGAGAGAAAGGGAGACAGAAAGGGAGAGAGAGAGAGAGATATAGAGAAAGAGCAGCGTTGGCGGGTCAACCGCCCAGGTAGTGGTTCGAAGCAGCAGCCACGTGGTGGCAAAGGCACTTTGCGATTGCTCTGAGCTCGATGATCATTAGCGCAGCAGTTTTTTGCACTGTAACTTGTTCAAAAACTTTGCCAATACTTGAAGAGTTGAGGCTTGGTGACTCAGCTTGCTGAGCCACAAGCATTTGTGCCTCATTCATGCTCAATTCCGGCACGGTGAGAAACACCAGTCAGAAGTTGTTAGAAACGAACTGGTTCGGAGCTTGAGACTGAGTATGTGGCGAAATGTGCCCCATAATGACGCGTCAAAAACCTCGCCGCTGAGTTCTGCGCAAGTGAGTCCCAAAAATGCCTCTCAAAGACAGCGGCCCGCTGCATGGCTGAGAAGTGCAAATACCACATCACTTTTGGTGTTGTGATTGTTGCTAGCTGCTATGTAATTTTTCTAGTTAGTCGGAACAATTATTTGTATTATATAGTCTGAAGCATCGTTTGATCTAGCTTTCACCTTGATGCAGCACCTGGGACGATTTCTGTGAAGAAGCTAACGAACATTTTATTGCGGCACCTGATGTTGATGTCAGGTATGCCTTGTGCTAAGCGGAAAATGGATTTGTGTCCTTGAGTGCGTGTTAACGGTTGAATTCATGAGTATGGGAGTATGCTAAGAGACATCGACCGTGGCCTTGGTCAAAGGATTTTGCAACTCTCAAGCACACTTCGCATTATTCACTGAGCTGGCGGGTGCAAGTACGAAGATATTTAGGCCTTCCCTGACCACAAGTCCTTAAGCCAAACTCAAAATCCATTTTGCTGATTTGTCCTTGGCAACCCAGAGGTGCTTTAGAGGACCATGCTAGGCTATTAGGCAACCCCCATATATATATATATGAAGGAAACAATTTTGAGTCAGTCAAAAGGCAGGACACTCGCACGCACTTTGGAAGGGATCTATGGCTCGGTGATGCTTTGCATTGCAGCTAGTGGGAATCAAGAGAGTGGTTTCTGAGGCGACACATAGATTCGATGCAAGGATTTGTTTGGCCACCTTCAATCGTGTGAAGTCTCACTGCTTCTTGTTTGCCAGAGCACAAGCCAGGTATCGTCGTTGACTTGCCAGTCTTTGCGCCGTGGCCAGCGGAGCATGTTGGACTCTTAGGTTGCTATCCAACCACGTGCCTGGAATAATTTCTTGGTGAGAAATTCAATACATCCAATTCATCAAATTGTCTATAATTTTGAAAAGGCTCAGCCTGCTTCAAGCCTTGTCTGCCACCTTTGCCCCGTATGCAGGCCATCAAATCTGAAATTTCGGCGTATTCCAGTGAGCTTCACGTCGTAAAGGCAAGACTTCCTTTGCCCCATGTGCAGGAAGTAGACGCCTCCAGAGTTCTTGGGAAGTGCCAGCGACCCCTTGCCTTGGCGGGCGAGGCCCCTTTGATGTTAAACTTTGGAGTTGGGTGCGGGTCAGTGTTGGCTTGTTCATTATTATTTTCAGGAGGTTCCGCAAGATTGAGGGGCATACTGCAAATGAATTTGATTCAATGGCCAACAATGGGAGAGCCACAAGTTCTGACAAAATCTGGCTAGTTGCGCGACATACTTGACTTGTAGCCGCGCTTGCACAGTGGCATGCATGCCCGCTCAATCTGCGGAATAGGCCAAGCATGCGGTTGGCATGAATGCAGGTTTGAGGATTGTTTGCAGTTTGTTCGGCCTGCTATCCAATGCTTCCAGGGCAAATTTAATTTGAGGAGCATGCGTCCAACTGGACCCTCGATTCATTTTGAGTTTTGAGGGACTGATGTGTATGCCTGTTGTGGTGGGGCTCGCTAACATGTTCAAGGAATTCACACACTGGTTCTGATTCTGTTATAAGTTATATAATATTGTTTTGCTTTAATTTGCTTAATAATGCATTTAACGCATTGACATAAATGAAGTCTTGAAAGTGCTGCAGAAGTGTTGTAACAGGATGTAGTTCAGCAACCTGATGTGCTATGTGGTTGGATAGGATGGGTCGTTGCATTCCTAAGGCAGATAGAGAGTGAAGGTTTCCAGCTAGAGTGGACTATGCCTTGGTGACGACTGACTGTAACTTACTCAGTACTGCAAGGCGAACCTGATCATTTTCTGTCACGACAATCGGCCAATAGGTCAGTTTTTGGTGTTTTGTGAACTATCCTGCGGTGAAAAAGATCCTTATGCGCCCCCCAGCACATTCCATTGCCTTGCCCAGGCCCTACTGTACCAGCAGGATTCAACCAACAGCTTTTCACTGGGGACAGCACCTTTAATGAGAGAACCCTCCAACTCCTCAAAGCTCACATTTGTTCCATGCGCCATTGGGATTCTTTCATGGTCAAGAGTCAAGACAATCCGCGCCCTCCCCGAGCAATATGTTTTTGCAGCCCTGAAGATCATACATTGCTATTGAAACGCAGAGCTATTTGCACTATTGCCTTCCATGGGAGTAGCGTCACGTTCGTGTGTGCGGTCCTTTTCTTGAGCCAAACGTTATGGCGGTTTTTTCGCCAAGTTTGTTGTGGGTCTCACGTGGTCCATGTGCTTTTGCAGACTCACGCTCCCCCTTGCGACTAGTTCGCAATCGCCACACGGTCTTTGACCAAAAAGAAGCTGAATCCGCACCATTTGCCGTGCAAATTCGGCAAACCATCTTTGTGCCACTCGGCATCTACATAGATCAGCCGCTCAGAAAACTTCATGGTGTTCTGGTTGAGCAGCCAAGCCACCGTCACCCTGAGATACTCGAGGTCCCTCATGTCCTCAGGTGTGGATCGATGCTCTGGGTGAAATCTCTGCGCCCTCAGACTGTGCCGTCGGACCATCCACGTTTCCAGCGGCAAGCGAAGATAGTCCCAAGCGTCTGTCCTTGGAACTGGTCGAAACTTCGTGGCTTCTTCATCCACCAATCGCTGCACCTTGTCAAAGAGCTCCTGGTTCCACCAAAGCGATGGCTGAATCACCAAGGTGTCTCCTTCGTCTCCCACCGGTGGAACCAACCGAGGCACCGGAGGCCAATGTGGCCGATCCCATGGTGAAGGGTAAGCTCTATGTGGGTCATCTCGAGGCCCTTCTGATGGATGCGGAAGAGGTCCAGGCTTTGGTGCCACCACCCACGGAGGATATTCTTCTGGCCACGCCGATCCCACTCGAGCAGGTCGGTTGGGCACCTCCTGGCCTGAGCACGAAGACGAACCTTTGGATGTAGTTCCCATAGCCGCTGCTCCCCGCGCCGCCGCCTTGCCCCCAGCGTCATTCATTGGCCCTGGTGGCGGGCTTTTCCGTGGATAGTACCCGGTCTTCAAGCCCTCAATGGTTTCATTGACATGTTGCACATACTTCGGCAGCACAGGTGGAGATTTCGGCAATGGACCCGGCACCCCTTGCACATACTTCGGCAGCGCCGGCGGAGACTTCACGGGCGGGCTGTCTTCCCGAACCGCCTTCGATCCCCTTTGCTGTCCCGTCGTTGTCGACGAAGACGACGAGGCAGCCGCCCCCATGTAGCCGGACTCCTCAACCTCGCTAGCCCGGCCAAAACGCAGCTGCAGCTTTCCCCAAATGCCATGGCGAGCGCTCGCGGCTTCGAGTTCGACGATGTTGGGAGCCTCTAGGCTACTGTTAGGGTCTTCCCATCGTTGAGACATCAAGGTCTCAGACCCTGGCGTGCGGCCCGACGCCTCTTCATTTCTGGCCTCTTGTCCTTTTCTTATACTTTCTTCTTTTTCTTTTTCTTCTTGTGGTGACCTTTCTTGGTCTTTTGGTTCCCTTGCAAGTCCCGCTCGCAGGGTACACAACTTGGGTCGGGTCGCCACTAGGGATTCTCCCCCGGAACTGCTATGATTGTACTGACCCTGGAAAACACGTGGTTTTGAATCCCCAGCGTTGACCCCCTTCCTACCAAAAATCCTAATCGCTTCAGCTGCTAAAGCCACGCTCAGAGAAGCCACCACCGCCACCTTGACGATTTGACTCGGCCACCCCGGGAATGCTGCGCAGCTGGCCAGGCATAGAGCGACCTTAGCCAATCGCACTCCACCATCATTCTCGCCCTCCGGAACCTCAGCCTCCTGGTCGATGTCATTCTCCCCCAGGTCCACCATGTGAATGAACTTCCGGAATCGTTGCCATGCTGTCTTTACCGCAATGGCCTTGGTGAGGAAGTCTGCAATCAACTTCGTCCCTTCCAAGTGGTAGATTTGCCAGGTTCCCAGCCGTGATCTTTCCCTCAAGGCGTGCGACCGCAATCGCAAATGTCGAGTGCGCCACGGACCATCAGGTTGTCGGATGATGGCGATTGCTGCCTGGCTATCCCCATAGGTGACCACTGCCGGCGGTTCCTCCACCCCCAACACCTCAGTCATCAGGGCTTGCAAACTATCGCCCATCACGGACGATTCGATGTAGCCCAACAACTCAGCTTCTGCCGTCGACAATGCCATACAGCTTTGCCTTGAGGATTCCCATTGAACCACTCCACCACCAACCATGGCCACAATGCCTTGAACACTTTTTTCTCCTTGTGGAGCGTAAGACACGTCGCAATAGATCTCCACCAGGTTCATGCTGCGTTCTCGAGCCAAAGCTTGGTCGGGTCCCCGATCTTGTTCTTTGCATTTTCCATAGGCCAGGAAGCACTTGTCAGTGGCGTTCAGGTACTCCAAGATGTAGTAACCAGTCTGCAAAGCCCAACGTGGCCTTTTCGTCACTGCCCTCCCCAGTGCCCCAATAGCGAATGCCAGATCCGGTCGACTCCTCACCGCAACCCACAAAATCTCTCCAGCAATGGCCTGAGCCTGGCGAACCTCCTCGATCTTGACGTCCTCCTCTTCCTCCACAAGGATAGCATGCTCCTTTGGCACTGGTGTAGACCTTTTGTTTGTGATCTTCCGGCGACGAAGGAGATCCTGCAGGTAAGAAGGTTGTCCCACCAAAAGTTCCTCGCCCTGATACTTCATCTCAAAGCCACAGAAACGCACCCATTCTTCAGAGTTCACCAACTCCGGCTTCGATGTCTTCCACTCCTCTTGTATGCGAGCCACCAGCCCATCATGGATGGCTTTGTTGCCCATCACCATTAGGTCGTCTACATAGACCAGCATCAGACCGACCGGAGCCGCACACCCTTCCTGTAGGACCCGCCATAAGTTTCGTTCTTTTGTGGATTGAAGCTTGTATTTCGTCCCCTCCGCAACCCATTCAAACTTGTTGAACATGGCGTCCCGGTGTAGTGCCCAGAAGCTTGGTGACGTCTGGAACCCGTAGAGTGCTTTGTGGACTATCCACACTTCATTTTCTGGGCAGATGCCCAGTTGTGACATGATTTTGGGCGGAACCACCGCCACTGGAGCAGCGCCAGGAGCGGTAGGCCTTGGTGCCTGTAAAAAGGCACTTTTGACATCCAGCGCCGACATCATCCATCCTTCATGAGCAGCTCGACGCACTGCGCATCTGATCAACGTGCCGTCGGCTCCGCTGGCGTAACTTCCTGCTGGACCAGGTGCAGGGTCTGCCGTTGGTGATGTCATATTTCCGCATATGACAGCCCGCGCGCGATGCGCGCCACTTCCTCCCTTGCGCACGCACACCATTTTTCCAGGTACTAATTCAGCATGAGGAGGAAGGCTTTCACGAGGTACAGAATGTACGGCCTGCGTGTCTTTCACGAGGACATCGTATTCATACTGAAAAGCTGGAATCCAATCTTGAGGATGTGCTCGGACTTCATGAAGAGGCACGGTGACCGTTTGCAGGACATCAGAATCTTGGACTTGGAGGCTGCACAAATGGATGCGAGTGTCCCTTTCCACTCTACCCAATTGGATCAAGTTGTCCTCCAGCTCATCCCGCCATTCCACAAACAACTCCACCTCTTGTCCTTGTTGAGCTCCTTGTGAAGCATTGCGAGGAACCCCATCCACCAAGTTGGACAATTGTTCTTGTAGTCGCATGTGATGCCACTCCCACGTCTCCTTCACGAGCTCCATGGGCAACCACCTCCCGACACCCTCTTCGTCACCGTAGGGCCCTTCAGCGGGAACTCCCACTGTCATTGCCTTCATTCCCGAAGCTGATGTGGCTGTTGAGGACCTCGGGAACCTCTCTGGTGCATCCTCCCATAGTTTCGAGGTCGAACTTTTTGGCTCCTTCAATGAAGACGACGAAGAATACTCCCCCCCCGCTGAAGTCGGACCCGCAGCAGTGACCACCGCCATAGGTTCTCCCAAGCGCGGAGTATTCCCTAAAGGCTGTTTGCCAGTCAATCTTCGATGAGGTTGTCCAGGACGATCATCTTCTTCCAGTTGAAGCTGCACCATGTCCCCTTGCACCCCTTGTTGGATGCGAAGTTGTTCCCCTTCTTGGTTAGTTTGTACTGCTTCCCTCACATGAAGAACTCGACCATCTTG